CCTCCCCCCTCCTCCTCCCTCTCTCGCGCACACAAGCCTTGAGTAGACATGCACGCCGCGCCGCCGTTGCGCCGCCGCCGACATAGTTTGGCCCGCCGCCGCCGTTCAAAAATCTGCGGCGCGCCGCCGCGCCGCCGCCGGTAAAATTATCGGCGGCGTAGCCGGCGGCGCGGCCAAAATTCGTCACATTTGGAACCCAATTGGTGCCGAAAGACAGGCTACCAAACGTGCACTCCCCTCGCTACCCCGACCCATTCCAACAAGAAGTAATAATGCTCTAGACCAGTAAAATTGTTGTCAATTTAACGTTTTTAATGCAACATATTTATAATTAGCGCTCATTTTAACAACTCGCGCCGGCAACGCCGCCGCCGCCGCCGCTGATCATACCGTCGGCGTAAACGCCGGCGCCGCCGCCGCCGCCGACTAAATTTTGCCCTCACGCCGCCGCCGCCAAAAGTAGGGTCGGCGTGCATGTCTAGCCTTGAGTATGTCACTATGTGCCAAGCTGAATGTTTTTCTCCCTACTTTGTCACCACCAATAGGAGTGCTTTTGTTTGGAAAGGGCCTCAACTCCTCCTGCAATCTGGTGTAATCCACCATTGATAGTCCTTAGCAATCTTAGTTTATCATAATGAGGTGCAAGAGTCATGCTTTTTGCCTACATTCGGGGTAAATTTAGTGAGCTTGCGTCGTTATAGGAGGTTTATGCACAAACAGCCAAAGATTTCTCTTGCCAATCTGTGCATCGTGCAGGAGAGTTGAGGCCCGCTCGCTTAGTTTTAATTATTTCCTTTAGGGGCGCTGTTCTTCTGTTCGTTGTGCTGCAGCAAGAGGTGGATGCTCAAAGAGGTCGCGCCTCCGTGGACAATCTGCAGTATCTATTTGATCGGCCTGCAGAGCCGATTTTCACCGTCAAGGAGGGTGACAAAAGCAGGAAGCAGGTCGCCTTGGATTTACCAGATGAATACCTGGTTAGTATGCAACTAACATTACATTTGCCGAGAGCTAAGTCCATCTTCCACTTGTGCATGTTAGATGTATTTTCAAATTTATATTTTACACTCTTAGCCCTTTACAGATATTTTAATAGATAATGAACTCGATTATACATCAGTAATACTCAAAAATTTAGTAATTAATACTAATTATTTTGTTAGGAACTGCTTAGAAAAAGCACTCTAAGTACTTACTTACCAAATAATTGCTATTACATACATACTAAATTTGTGACTATTACTAGCACTTTAGTGAGTATTACTGCTGGATAAACGGGTTCGTAGTCTATTTCCAAAAATGTCAGGAACAGGATGAGAGTGTACAAAACATGTCAAACATTCACAATTCCAAATCGTGCAGGTCATGCAATTCCAAGTTGATACACAGCCCGAGGCGAAGGAAATACAGGTACAAATTGTCGCGCACGACCCGGCTGCACTGTCTGTGCTGTGGGGATAGGGAAAGAGTGGTAAGAATCGTTGCCAGTGCCGAAAACCGTATTCTTACCAGTCATGAACCACTCTTACCACTGAAACATAGTGGTAAGAGTGGGTGGATTAACCACTTGAACCAGTCTGCCTGGCGTGCTGGCGCTCCCCCTCCCCTCCCCCTCCTCCCCGCTCAG